AATAAAAAACAAATGATCTTTAAATTTAATGCGCGAAACTTAATTTTGATAAAAATTTATTGGATGATCTGAAACGTAATATAAATTTTTATGGAATTTTATTGGCCTAAATTTGAAGAACATACATGTAATATTGTTTATTTGGTATTTGAATACCTATTAATTATATTACCAAATTTTCACATGACCATATAATTTTGCAAAGAGTGATAATAAATAAAAAGTTTATATGTAGAAATGATTAATAAATATTTTCAGATTTTTTTTTATTTTTTAAAAAATTTAATAAATTTTGGCCATTTATATTCATGGCTAAGTAAAGTCCGAATTTTCACTAGATACCATGAAAACTTCTTCTAATCAAAGTTATATATATTATTTCTGGCTACAATCTATATAAGATAGTTGGCATTTATCTTAAAATCCATCGAGTTCAGTATGGATAGTATTCAAAGATTAAATTTTTTTATTTTTTGTTAATTTAATTTGAAGCGTAATTTCTCTATGTGTAGATATTCAATTTCAATACAAATATATCATTTGAATAAAAAAAGTTTGTGCAATTTAGACCCAATTAGCATTTTAAATTTAGTAATTTTTTTATCAATTTTTTTTGCTGGTGACTTTTGATACTTCACTGTACTGTGCATATTTATTTTTACTGACTCAATGCAATACATTGCAGTAAGCACAGCCCGTGATTTAAGATCAAATCAGAAAAATCAACTGGAAAGAAGAAATCGAAAAAATCTAAATCGGATGATAATGTAATGTTATTGATTATTTGCTTGTTGTTTAATTTCTTTATTTGACATTTTGCCTATTTATAATTATTATTTATGATGCAAAATTATTATTGATAACTTACAATACAACAATTAACAAGCAAATGAATAAGAGAGTTTGGTTAAAAAACAATTATTAATTATGATGGTGATAATAATAAAACGTGATAATAAAAATAATTGTAATAATGAATATAAAAAAAAATAAAAAAAGAATTTGACTATTATATTAAATTTCTTACATGGTCTTTAACCTTAACAAGATTGTTTTTATATATTACACTGTGTTAAATATGCTTGTTTATTTATTTACCCATTTTGATATACTGCATGCATTTATTGTATATATATTATTATTTATTATTCAATTTACCAGATACGAATACAAATACAACAACAATTTCCTTTATAAATATTCGTCAGGATTTTCACAAACTATTTGTGAAGAATTTAAATAATAGAAGATTATTTCATCATTGTTATTATTGTTGCTGTTGTTGGTTTTGTTATTGTTTTCGTTTAATGGCATTATTATGATTATCATGGTTTTTGTTATATTTGACAATGTTATTCCTTAAATTCAAAGAATTCCTTCTTTGTTTTACTTTTTTCTTCTCATTTTTTTCATTTTCTTCTTTTTCTCTTATGTAACTAACATTTAAACAAGTATTATCAACATCTTTTGATCCATAAACTTGAGGATCATTAATAATTCTTTTTAAAAATTCCCAAATAACAAATACTTTAATAAAAATATGTATATTTGATTGAATTAAATTTGATATAGTTTTATTTAACATAACATTATAATTTAGAAGAACAAGATTCATTGTTGTTGTAATGAGGTGCTCAATAAAGGGGAGGAAGATTTTATATTGAAAATTTACAAGCTCCCGTGGATGAAAGAACAGAAATAGAATTGAGAAGAGAATTTATGCTTTCTGTGTGTTACGTGTTGTTGAAGTTGTAATCTAAAATATTCTGAAATGAATAAAATAAAATAAAAAATAATAAATAAATAAAATAAAATGAATTCTGAATTAGAAAGTCAGTTATCATGTAATCATTACTTCCGATCCAAAAAATATATAATGTATGAGGAGGATAATGTGAACATTTAAAAAAAAAACTTTTTACTAAAGAAAATAAAAATAATTGTCATAAACATTCATAAAAAATAATTTTTATTCATAAAAAAATAAAATAAAAATAACTTTATTCTATAATAGAAAGAACATCACTTATTTTGATATTGATGTTCAGAAAAATTGAATTTTAGCATTTTCTTTTAAAACTTTTCTTAAAATCTTTTCTGAAGCACTTTTAGGTATTTTATCAATAAAATGGATACCACCTCTTATCCTTTTATGAGGAGCAACTCTATCTCCTACATATTCTTATATTTCGGATGCTAATTGAGGAGTTTTTTTGTAATCTTCTTGAAGTGTAACATAAGCTACCAGATATTCAGTAGTTTTTTCTTCAAATTCTACTCCTGTCACTGCAGCATCCGATACAACAGGATGATCAAGAAGAATAGCTTCAAGTTCTACTGGAGCTACTTGGAATCCTTTGCAATTAATTAATTCTTTGACATAATCAACGATAAAAAGTTTTCTTGTTCATCAATAACCATATCACCTGAGAGATAAATTCATCTTTGCCAAATAAAGCTTTTCATTATTAAGATAACCTTTCATAATGTCCAGTCCTCGAACGCACAATTCTCCAGGTTCATTATATCCTAATTCTATTATTATTAATACAAAAAAATTATATAAATAAATAAATTAAATTGATTAAATAAAATATATACCTTTCTCACCAAATGATATCAATTTAGTTTCCATATTTGGAAACAATTTTCCTGCAGAACTTAAAACAAAAATAAATAATAAACAAGAGTTCAGGGTCAGAGGCATTTTATTAGTTTAAATTTTAGTAATAATTGAATTCTAAATTAAGTTAAAAATTAATTAATTAATAAGTAGTATTACCTGATTTCTTTCTTAGAGATGAAATATCTGAATTAATTATAGATTCCAAGATAAAATCTTTATTATTTTTTGGGTTTCTTTTAATTATTTTACTTATGCCTAATATATTAAAAATAAAAATGGTGCACATATGAAGTTAGAAATTTCTTTCGTTAAAGATATTTATTATTTATAGAGTATATAATAGAGAACATTTGATTACATATGTAATAGTCAGACAATTCCAGACAGCAACGTTAACAGCTTATAAAAATATTTTATATTTATTCATTATTTATATCACATTTTGATATTACTGTATTCTTAACCTTCAAATAAATAATGCACTCTAAATTTAGGAAATTAAATCTAAACAATATTTTTTAAAAGATAATTAACACAAATGTGATCATCAAAGGATTGTCACATGTGTGATTTTACAACATTTAAGCCTTTACTTATTATGATAAGACTCCCATATGCTTATAAATTTTTTTTTTGTTTGTCAAGTCTCAATTAATAAATTTTGTAATAATGTTTTTTTGTATAAATTTAGATGCGATGTAATTTTATTTAATTTTTGTTTGTTCAAGCCTCCAATTAGTAATTAATTTTGTAATAATGATTTATTGTTTATATAACTTTATTACATTTAGTTTTTTTTTAAATTATGTGAATTCTTTAATTAATTAATTTAGTTAATGTTTTTTTTTTAATTTTTCGTGTGAAATTTTTTGATTATAAAAAATTTTGCATTTTTTTAGATTAAAGACTTGACAAAAGTAATTTATAGAATTAAGTGAATTATTTTATTAGCTCATTTTTACATTCAAATCAGAGGCTTGACAAAAATAATTGTTTTGAAGTTATTTTTTGTTATTTGAGCATTCACATATCATAGTGAAACTGCATCTTGTAACCTTTAGACATGAGGCAGATTCACAAATGTAATTTTTAATTTTTTGATTTTGAATTTTGAATTGAACTTTTTTTGAATTGAATTTGATTTTTGAATTTTTGACAAATGTGATTAATAATTATGATAAATATGTGTATTATACATATAGTCTTTACCATTATATGGACTCACAAATGTGAATCTTTTTTAATATTTTTGATTTTGAATTTTGACATTTGTGATCAATAATCATGGTAAAGATGTGTTTTAGATATATAGCCTTTACCATTATATGAATTCACAAATACGAATTTTTTTTTTAAGAAAAATGAACCAAATTTATAGTTTTTTTTTAATATTAAAAAAAAATGTATTTAATTATATATTAATGATTAGATTTTGCATATGATTTATTTTACATAATATTGTTAATGCATGTCAAATATTAAATTTGTAATTTATTAAATTTACAATAATAATTGTGTTTAGATATACTATAAATTTTATTTATAATTAATAATTAGTAAAGTATTTTCATTTTTTACTGAGACATCTTTTTTGCACAATGTTTATTTTTTCTTATTTTTTATTTTAGATAATGTTGTATTATTTCATGTAATCATTTTATTTAATATAATATAAAAAAAATTTAATCAATCATAATTTTTTTTCTTATATTTACATAATACTAAATGTAATTATATAATGTAAAACAAATTAAATTTAATTTATGTATAATTATTTTTAATATGGTTATAGTTATATTTTATTAAAAGATTTGTCATTTGCACAATTATTTTTACAATCGAAGATTAATAACTTAATCATTCAATTTAATTTATGCATAAATTTTTTTTGACAATCAAAATTTTTTTAGTTAACTTATTTTTTTACTTACATAAAAATTGATTCTTTAATTCTTTAATATAAATTTAATATTAGTAATAATAAACAAATCATGTGTGATAATACAATAACAATGCATAATTGTTCAAATATAATTCATATTTTCACTTATTGTATTATGTAATGTAAAAATTTTTTTGATTTCAAATATATATTAGTAATTACGTACAGATTGATAATATAGTTAAATTCATTTTTTTTTTATAAATTCTTACAAAAATTTATACTTATAAGGTCACCTAATGGTAAAGGTTACAAGTCTCCAATTTAAAAAAAATAATAAAATTATTTAATGTTATTAAACTTAATAACTTATAAATAATTTTGTCAAGCCTCTATAAACAATCAAATTCAAATGAAAAAATTAAAATTTTTTTAAATTTAAGTTAAATTTTGTTTTTTTCAACAAATTTAAAAAAAAAAAAAAAGAAATAAATTGTAATTTTTCAAAAATTTTCAAAATTATAATTTTCGAAATTTTGAATTTTATTATTAAAAAGCAAATCAAAATTGTATGAAAAATAAAATTTTAAAAAACGAAAATTGAATTTTGAATTTTAAAAAAAACGAAAAAAATTATAATTTGATATTTTTTTGAAAATAAAATTTTTTAAAAAACAAAAAAAAAAGAAATTGTAATTTTTAAAATTTTATTTTTTTTTATTAAATTGGAGACTTGACACACAATGAAAAAAAAGAAATTGGAAATTTTGAAAAAGCAAAAAAAAATGTATAAAAAACGAAAATTTAAAATTTTCAAATTTAAATTTAAAAAAAAAAACGAAATTGTGATTTTTCAAATTTGAAAAAAACCAAAATTTTTTTTAAAAAAAAACGAAAATTGAAAAAAATTGTAATTTGATATTTTTTTTGAAAAATAAAATTTTATAAAAAAAAATTTATAAAAAACGAAATTATAATTTTTTAAAATTTTCAAATTTTTTTTAAAAAAATATAAAATTGTAATTTTCGAAATTTTGAATTTTATTATTTTTTTAAAAATAAAATCTTCAAATTTTGTTATTTTTAATGAGAAAATTAAAAAAAACGAAAATTTAAAATTTTTCTAATTATTTGAATTATTATTTTTTTATTAATTAATTGGAGGCTTGAATATTAAGAAATTTTTTCGAAAAATAAGATTTTAAAAAAAAAAACGAAAATGCAATTTTTTTCCAAAAAGGAGCAATTTTCCTCAAAAAAGCCCCAAACTATTTATTATATATGTTAATAATTTTATCATAACAAATAATTTCGTAACAATCGAATATTAAGAAATTCGTTATTAAGGTAAGAAAGTTATATGATTTAAAATCTCTTTCTCCTCCTTTTTTTCACTGGTTATTTTTATACCTTCCAATTTGTTCTCTTTTTCCTTTTGTTTTCGCGTTTAAACACGTTTTCTCCTTTTCCCCGAGAATGACACACAAGGATGAAAGATGCTGTGCAAGGATGAGAAATCTGTCATCTAGATGGTAGCACTCTCATCCTCAGGTAAACACTGTCATCTTGCTACCATCTCTCGTGACATTCGTAACCTTCCGCAATCCTCGTACAGCGTTCCCCGTGGCATTCGTGCCACCTCACCATAAATAATATATTCCGTTTTAAATAAAAAAAAAGTTTAAAAATTTAAGCAAACTATTATTGTCGTAGTTAAATGTCCCTATTAAAGCTAAGTAATGTACTTGCATTGAGGTTACGAAGAAAATTTTATAAAGTTCAGAAAGTACAATGAAGCATTAACAGACTTTAATAATTTATTAGAAACTGAACCAGATAATGTTCCCACATTAAGATTACGAGGGGAAACTTATCAACAATTAGAAAAATATAATGAAGCATTAACAGATTTTAATAAATTATTAGAATTAGAACCAAATAATTATCTTACATTAAGATTACGAGGAGAAACTTATCAAAAGTTAGAAAAACATAATGAAGCATTAACGGATTTTAATAAATTATTAGAATTAGAACCAAATAATTATCATGCATTAAGATTAAGAGGGGTAACTTATTTAATGTTAGAAAAGTATAATGAAGCATTAACAGATATTAATAATTTATTAAAAATTGAACCAGCTAATGTTCCTACGTTAAGGTCACGAGGAGAAACCTATCTAAAGTTGAAAAAATATAATGAAGCATTAACAGATTTTAATGAAATATTAGGATTTGATCCCAATGATTATCTAACATTAAGATTACGAGGAGAAACTTATCAAAAATTAAAAAGGTATAATGATGCATCAATGGATTTTAGTAAAGTATTGAAAAAAGAACCAAACAATGTTCTTGCATTAAGATCACGAGGGGAAACTTATCTAAAGTTAAAAACGTATAATGAAGCATTATCAGATCTTAATAAATTATTAGAACTAGCTCCCAATAATTATCTTACGAGGAGAAACTTTAAGTTAGAAAAGAATAATAAAACACCAATGGATTTTAGTAAAGCATTGGAAAAAGAACCAACAATGCTTTTGCATTTAGATTACGAGGAGAAACATATCAAAAAATGTTGGAAAATATAACAGATTTTACTAAAGTATTATAAAAATAGAACCAAACAATTCTCTTTCATTAAGGTTACGAGAAGAAATCAATATTCGTAGGGTGATAAATATCAATATAACACCTCTGAAATTTGTTCATTTATAGAAATTTATTAAAGGAAGTAATAATTTTTAGTCGACTCGTCACTAAACAAGTTATTTCTTGTTATACTCCGAAGATAAACGTGAAGTGAAACGAATATGTATTTTTTTGTAACATATTTTTAATGAATCATAAATTTTTGGCAAAGCAAACGAATCGAAAACAAGTCGAACAGTTTAATTTTAATTTTTATTTTAAAAGAATTCACATAAAGATAATGTAAGGACTAGCAAGTAAAATTATTCAATGAACCTTATAAATATTGCCATCTTCGCCAACTTCTATTGAGATAATCACAATTAACAAGAAGAACGTTCGACAAAAAATTGTGTATCCATTTTTTTTTTTTTGTAAATAAACCAAAAAATTTTGTATTTATAGCTTTTAGCGACTATTGACATGTCCCTTTTTTTAAAAAAATCATCAATTCTGAAAATTTTTTTTTTTTTCAGAAAAAATATAATTTTAAATTTATTTTAAACATGAAAAGATAATGAATTATAATAAAGCATAATAATTATCTACAGCTACTCATTAAATTAAAAGATATTGTTATTTAAAATTAAAAAAGAAACTAGTAAAGTGAATTTATTAACGAGTGTAATTATTATTCTAATATTTTCTTATTCATCTTTTCATCTTTTAATATTTTATGTTTTTACAGTATATTAATGTTTCAGATATTAAAAATGATAGATTACGTCACGTTTAATTCACAATAGCGGAAAAACAGTAAATTTAATATAAAGAAAATATTTTAAATAGTTATAAAATTTTTTATAAATTTTTATACGGAAAATGAAAAAGTAAATGGCAGTTATAACTTTTTTTAATAAATTTCTGTTAATCGTTAATATTTTATATTAGCGTTAAAAGAACGAAAAAAAAATACATCGTAAATCGTTATTAACTTATTTGATTAAAAAAAAAAAAGTAAACACAAAATAACCAAAAATTATAGTAAACATATGATGATTTTTTTTAAATTGCTATTATGATTTATTTTTATTTTGCAGATGTATTAAAATATATAAAGATGGCAAGATCACATTATACAGTTAAATGAAAAAGTTAAAAAAGTACACATTCGAATAAGGAAGGAAATAATTTTAAATTATGCATAAAAAGTGTATATATGAATATGTAATTATGTATCGAAATAATAATAAGTAAAATTTTTGTAATTATGCAATTATGATTAGAAGAAATACATTTTCGATTCTTAATAAATTTTTTTAATTAAAAAAAAATGAACACCTAAATTTAATCAGCTTATGAGCAAGACACGCTACTAATATCATAAGACTCTTCTGTAGCATAATCACATAGATCCCTGGCCAAAGGTAAGGCTTGGTGATGTTCTCCTGATTCGGTTTCATGAACTTCTTGTTTCTAAACTCATACTTTTTATTATAAATTAATAAGATAACTCTCAACATTAAAAAGCGTTAAAAAAGAGGAGTAAATTAAAGGTGATTTGTTACCTCATCGGGATTTAAATCTAACAAACAGCTTCATTATTTCTATTTGTTATTTCTTTCAGGATCAATAAGTTCCACAAAATTTGCTCTATAGATAATTTTTAAAAAATAATTTATTAATATGTTGAAAATAAATAACTGGATCAATAAATAAATATAATAATAAATAAACACGTTCTTTTTCTATAAATTTTATCCAGGAATAACCAACAACTTGTACCATCTTTAATAGTATCATACACTTTAATGTTAATTCAGTACCTTCGGTTAATGATTTAAAAAAATTAAATTAAATCGGAGTTAAATGAGTACATATAAAAATATCTTCTCTTTGTCGACATTCTAATTTTTTGTCTTTCATATTCTACTTCTTGTTTCCTTCTAGTACATTCTCTTTCTTTTTCTTCCTCTATTGTTGATGTTCATAAGCTTCTTATGCTTTTTCTTATTGTCCTTATTCATACAATAACGACTAAGCGTATCCAAGCAGGAGCCAATAGAATGTATTTTAAAGATAAAGAAAATGAATTAAAGTTCATTTCTTTCGAGAATCAGCTTCCTTAGTTAATATCTTGTGTATTTTGTTTTTAGATTCAAGGAATTAATAATTCTTTGCAACGAATAAAATTTGACGAAATATATATTTATTAATGTATACATAATTATATAAGTATTAATAGCATTTATTTTAAGTTTCTGCTATCTTTTTAAATATTTTTTCAATAAACACAACATATTCTTCCATTTCCTAGGTTAGACCGATAATGAATTCTTGTGTAATTTTAATTCTAAAAAATTCATTAAACAATTTTATTGTATAATATAAACAGGAAATGGGAACCATTTTGAGTCCGGAGCAATTGATTCAATTGACAAGCTGTTACATTAAGGCTTGTTAATTAGTATAGTATCCTATTTTTCAAATCTAATTTAGGTTTGTTTTTTCTTTGTTTTTAGAATATCGGACTGAAAGGAGAAATCGATTTTACGACGAATCATGAGACTTCCAGTGATCATTATTTTATAAAACGTGATCTCAAAATTACAAAATTAACAATCGAAATTAATTCACATATCAAGTTTTGTCCCAGTGAACAGGGTATACAGATAAACTGCACGCTATTTTGTACTGAACGATTTTACATAAACTTTGCACAAATTTCGTACATTATAGTGCAACCCTATATATTTATAAAATCTAAATTGTTTTATATGAACTTTTTTCTATTAAAAAACCGTACTGTCGCGGTCTGCGCAGAACAAGTGGAAAGTTAAGCCAATCAGTCTCAATAAATTTGGGTCAATCACACGATAATTC